TCTGTCAAAAAACTTTTAATGAGATGATGCATAAGCTATCATCGATACGGCGATGCTACATGCAAATACAGGAGTGCTACTACAGCAAAAAGTCTTTAGTATTTGATGTACCTAACTGTGTATTTACTACATTCAGAAAAACACATTTAAAGGGTTTCTGACAATTCAATATTGCAGTTTATGTGAATGAAAAGAATGACAGAAGTCACTACACAGTGCAAGATTAACTTTTGATTATGATGCAAAACGCCAGCTTCAGACTCTATTCTACAGAGAGAAGTCACAGATGCAGGCATTACATTTCTCATGCCAGAAGGCACTGTCTATTTTACACCCACTAATGTGCCAGATTGGGCAAAATCTGTTTCAGCAATTTAAACTGCGCAAGGTGGAAAACACTGCAGATCTCTCTGTAAAAACAGTTTCTTCTACTGCAACGAACTATAAAACTTCTGTTTGACATGAAAATGACTACAACTTATGATTATGTTTTGAATTGCTATACTTGAAAGCAACAATGGCACAGAATGTTTTAGAATATTTTCCCCACTTTAAAACTATGGCATTAAAGCACAGTGAAGTGCCTGTACAGAATTTTGAAATTAATTATTTTCTTACAGTATTTTAATAATATATTAAGTATATACATATTTGCATTCCACAGTGTTTCTGATTGCTAATGTTCTTTCTAGAGAGATACCTCAACTGTCAGAACCAGATGCTTGCAAATTAAAGAAATAAATTTTTTGTGTCAACATAAGTGAGCAATCTGTGCTGCTATTATTAGTACTTTCTACTCTACTACACGGATATAATTTACCTCCCCCAATGCATCTTTCACTTCATTTTACTCGGAATGCTCTGTATTTCTTTTAACAACACTTTAGAAGAATTATTAAGTGGTATACCTTTATATCAGGCACAGAATTCTGTACACTAAACACTAGAAAAAACCCTCATTATTTCTGAAAGAGACTATATTTTCTATACTGCATTCACAGTTAAGCCCAGCCCTTCACTTGGAGTTTAACTGTTCTTGGGAGCCCTACAAAACTTCTCAGCTAACCCCAAAATTCATACTCCATCTGTACATACGAGGCAGCACTTCACCTTGCCCAGTATGTCAGGAAAACACAGAGACTGGCCAATGGCCAGGAACAGACATCAGCACTCTGTACCCACCCGTTTCAAATAAACACCAGTGGAACATCACAAGCTCACAAAACTTTGTATGAGTCTACACAGCGTAGTAACTCCCACTCCTGGCAGACAAAGCAAGCAGGTAACCTAAGTACATCACGAACTGTTAAACTTCGGAGGAGCGGGGCTCAATGTTCAACTGATAAACATATGGTTATGTTTTATTTTAAATACAGGCACGATGTTTAAACCATGAACTGTGATTTACAACTGTTGCTCTTTTAAAATCTGAAGTCGATATTATAAAATATATGGGTCATGTTCCTCCCTCTTAATTTTACATGTTATGTATTTCTCTTTATGATTTCCGGGAGGCTTGACAATCAGAGGAGTTTCAAGTTTAAAAATATGTATCTTTTCTAAGGAATTCCAAATTATACTGTTTAGTTTATACTTTTTACCTGACTTTGATAAGGTAGCTCTTGGTTTGTTTGGGTTGGGGATTTTTGTTGTTCGTGGTGGTGGTGGTGGTGGTTTTTTGGTTGGTTGTTTGGTTTTTTTTGTTTGTTTGGGGTTTTTTTTTATTGTTATTGTTTTTTTGGAAGATTTTGTTTGACTGGACCTGCAGAAAGGGATGAGAACTTGTCAGGTCTTTAATACAATCGCAGATTATAAGATGGTAAGAGCAAATACCATGAAAAGCAGCAACTGGAATAACAAGGAAAGTGAACAAGGTAGAAATATGAGTAAAGGCTTTGTATAGTTTCAGCTGTAGAGGAACAGAGGAAAACTCTGCAGACTGGAATAAGGTGAGTATCACTTCCATCAAATAATCCAGTTTGTCACAATCTTGTGATATTGTTAATTGGTTTTCCTTTCATACAGTCTGCTTCAAGTAAGAAGGAATGCTTTTACAATAATCTCTTGACAGTTAATCGGTTTGACCTTCGCTTAAACTTTCCAGAATAAAACTGTTTCCTAATTTATTTTTGCTTTTCATAAACCTCTAGGTTGATCTTCCATCTTTAAAAAGATCAAAATTTTATTATACCTAATATCAGATTATTGAAGATTTTAGTACATGCATGGGCAGTTCACCTAATCCCATTGACCTTTTCATATTGAAATCCAGTTTTATGCTTTATCTGCTGTTTGTTAAAAAACGAATCATACTTCCCTTGTTCAGACGCTAGTTCTTTCATCTTCTATGAAAATTAAAGCAAAACAAGACTTACTTTTTATTTACCCGGAACTGAGAAAATGCACCCAAGATTTTAAAAAAGTTGAATGTGAAAAGTCTTGTAACGGGAATTTTATGTATCGTTCAAAATATGAGGCTGCAATCTGCCTAAAAAGCAAGCAGCATATATCTCAAGAAATCAGACTGTCACCTGTTCTGCTCACATTTCCTTATTCAGAATTCGTACAGAGATAATATTTGCTGGTGATTTCCTTCTATTTTATGCATAACTAAGTCGTGTCAATGCCCTCATATCTGCAGCCAATTTATTCCAAAAGAAGCCTCCTACAGGAAAAGTAAACCTAACTGTCCATTCCTGAAACCACTGGTTTATAAAACATCCAACAATAAATAGGAAGTGAAAATCTTCTCTTCCACACAAAGCATGTTACCTACCTAGACAGAAAAAAGTGGCCACACATGACAGAGCAGATGAACATTACCATTAAACAAAACCCAAAAAGTACCATGGGGAACAGCTGAAGCAAGTTGGACAAATCACGCCTATTCTGCCAAAAATCTGCTTTGTTACAGAAAGCAAAGAAGGGCTGAAAGGTAAGTTTTGGTCATTAAAGACAAAGAGTAATTGATGCTTCTGATAAGAAGTCAGCACTGATTGAAGAAAATGTAATGAGCTTTTATCCTTCAGAATTAAAAAAAAATTAACTGCAATAAAACCTTTTTCATATATATTCTAAACATCAGGATTATTAGTGAGTTTGCTCCCATTAATATGCTTTCTCTCTTTTGGATGCTATAGCTTAACTGAACTATACTAACTCTTTTGGTTTAATTCCTCAAGCCAATTTACAGAACATCGAAGGCTTTGAATCAAACTACGAAAATCTCAAAGCTGCAAGCTAAAGTGTTAGCCACATGAGAAAAGTACTAAAAGATCATCAGATGTGCCTGGTAAACCATAAGGCTTTGTAAAGAATTTAACAAGAGAAGCGCGAAGAAAAAGGTTTAAAAAAAAAAATCACCTTCTGAAAAGAATTGTCAAATGGTAGAGAAAACATTTCTGGAATTCAGCTAAGATGACAAACTGCTATTTGCACAAATAAAATTAATCGCTATGTTACTCTAGCATAGGTCCTTGTGAACACACTGGTCAGCCCTTACGTGGTAAGGCTGGGAGTCAGAAAGACAAGTTTGAGGCTTATCTGATTCCGTATCAGAGGCCAGGAACCAACAATACTGACAGCAAACAGCAAAACCAATAATAATAGTAAAAATTATTTGTGTAATGTCCAGAGTAGCACTCAGAAGTGGCCAGCTGTACACTGTTTAAGCATGTTTTCATATATATGTGTATACATACAGTACATTCAAGATGGTAACATACAAGTTCTCTTCAGTATGTGTACTGCCTTAAAACACAATACCATCCTCAACCTGATATAAACAGATGAGTTCCATTTTTTCAAGAGGCATTCATGCCAATGAAGTATTCATCAGCAGAAAGGCAAGTGAAGCATGGAGACATTTAAGCAATACAATTTTGTTTCTATGCAGAAAAAAAAAACAACTCAAACATGGAAAGGTACTTGCAAAGTTTGAGATAAAAATTGTATGACAATTTATTCACATAAATCTGCGAATAAGTTGGAGATGAAAAAATGCCAAGTTAGATTGATTGATGAACTACTTCCTAAGTCCTTGGGGAAACAATAGTTCTGCTCTCACTAGACGGCAGTTTAAGACAGAAGAGTACAAACTGAAAGAGATCAAAGGCCTAATTAAAAAAAAAAAAAAGTACCTTATCTGACTAAGCACTGCACTGAAGAGAGACACTAGCTGATAACAGTGAAAAAAAGGAGACAAAAATTTGCAGGGGAGAACCTGGACAGAGCTAGCAGAAATGTGTATCCAGCTTCTTTTCCCCTCTCTTTCCTTCCATATTCTTGTGCTCCCCCAAGTATTCATCACCTGATGAAACAGTAATGCCCAGTCAAAATGAAGCAGTTCGCAATATCTTCATCAACCACTATCACACAGCCTTCGCTCTCGATAGCTGCGCAACAAGCGTGCCATGTGGCACGGTGTACTCCATGTAAAAAGACATCCAACAAATGAATTTTCTAACACGTTCACCAGGCTATACTGCTGACTGACAAAGAAAAAAGTCCTTCGTAATCATTGACTGTACAGAATAATTAAACCGGATACTTCATATATAGTCTGGGAACTTTACATAGCATATTGTTATTCTCTATTCAGGTGTTAAATCAAGTGTTAAGATGAGAAACGTACTGTGTGTGTACGCACACACACGCGCGCGCGCACACGGGTGCTCACTCTCAAGCAACAAGACTTCAAAGGCTCAATGGTAAACACCATCATTACCCTGCTGAGACAACCTCTGATATGGGATTTTCTAAGTACCTCACTGAAATATGCTGCATTATTTCCACAACCCACTTTAGAAGAAAACTTACTTGATTGCTGTTTTCCCCCTCCTCACTTTTTCTCAGGTCAATAAACACCAGAAAAGCAAAGTCCACATGGATTACCAATACTTACAGGTTACATAATCCTACAATCTAAAAATGAAATGTTGGAAGTATTTCATGTCAAAGTGAACAGCTATTCCCTTTAGGTGTTTTATCTATTTGCTTACCTTTACTTGCACTCTCAACGTGCTGCAATTCATCTGGAAATTTTAAGATATCCCGGTAATTCTCCTCACAGATTTCTGCCAGAAAATGCAATAGGGTTGTCTTCTGATCTGATGACTTCGTATCTCGAATCTAAAAAGTGAACACAGGAGAAAACAAAGACAAAAAAAATACCACTTTTTTTTTTTACCATTATGTTTAAATAAAGTGAATATTGCAGATGTAAACTCATTAGGAAAAAGTTACCTACAGTGGTTACCTGATTTATGAAAAAAATTATTTTAAAAATCAAGTTTCTCTAATTCTTTGTAATTTAAGACTACAAAAGGGATCTATCCCTATGCAGTAATTTTAAAAGAATAGTTAATTATGCTGAGAATAACACCAGTCCATAAAGTTCTGAGATTTTAGGAACACCAGTTCAGAATGCTTGCTGTAATAAAAAAAGTACCTGTGAACAGAGATTAAAAGAACAGAATTTAGTTCACTCCTCCAATGCCCCCCCCCACCCTGAGTTCTAAAGGAATCTCTTTGAAATGCTGCGTAACTGGACAGCATGCTAGAAGTCAGAATTTGCTGTTTTACCAGTCATGTTGAAGAAACTCCTTGTCATAAATACACATCTTTTTACCGAAGCAAAATCTAAAGCACACTGCTTTATCCTAAAGACTTTTGGACACGTTCTATACAGACACATGAAGTAAGTGCAGCCCGCCTTACTGGAATGCAAAATGACGACAGAATAGCGCAGGTAACCCTAATTGCTAGTAAACAAAATTTAGTACATCCAGTTTTATTTATGAAAAGCTGCATGAATATTGTGCACAGTGTGTAGCAATAGGTAATTCCATATTTTCACTATCCTCTCAACTGCAGAGGCAAGTTTTAGTGTTCTGAAATACACTAATTTTCTTGAAGGCAATAAGACCCTCTGATCATCATTAATCTAAGGGCATTAGCTACTAGAATCAGTTTATTATTTTTAAAAAATAATTCTGAAATAATTCTTAAAATATAGGGCTAGTGGGAAGTTCCCAAGTAAACACAGATACTTGTGGCTAAAACCCATGGCGGAATGCACATGTATATCCCAAGGAACCCTATGAACTGAAGAGAATGGGAAAATAAATTTAAGTCAAAACTCAGTGTCTCTATTTTTATGCTGACATAAAGAATGAATGTATGAGTTGATTGAAGATTTAGTGGAAGTAGAGATTACCCCTTATTGACAAAGGCAGTAGAGACAGTAGGTGTATGCATGAGTTGGAAATGAGTGGACTTCACTTTTTTTAGAGAATTATAACATTATGACTGCATCTGTAAATATTTTCTTAAACTGCATTTTACTAACGCATCTAGTACAGTTCTTATACAGAACTAAGCTACAACATATACAACAAATGAAATCAAGGATTTATTTAAGAAGAATACATAAATGTGTGTGTAAAATCTATTTGTTTTCTCATTCTCTAAATCACTAGAAGTTCTAATTCTATAATCCTCATGACAGGCTTGCCATCAAAGTTCAATTTAATACAGCTTTAAGGATTACCCTGTTAAGAACAAATGAGTGCAGTCAAAAAACAGGCTTTTAAAAATATAAGGTATTTAGGCAATTAGGAATGCAATTTAATTCATAGCAATTCGGTGATTAAAGACTACATAATGCTCAGTAATGGTATGCAGTTAAAAGGTTTTAATGTGTTACATACACAGAAGAAGTTTTTCCAACTTGAAAAAAAAAACGTAGATTTAGTGGCTAAACATCTGCATGGTGAAAAGAAATTGCATTTCAATTTGACTGTGAACAAGAACTGTGGGATTTGCAGTCTTTGATCTCTCTGACATTGTCAAATGGATAAAGGTTTTTTTCCTAAATGGACAAAATGATTTTGCCTTCAGATTACAACTGAAACATGTTTTGTCACCAACAGTAACATCATATTAACACAAGTTAATATTACCACCTGCTGAGTTGTTTAAAACCTGTAGCAAACAGTCATTCAGATCTTAAACCACTGGCTCAAATTCACTTCTTTGGCCCAAGCAAGAAACACGTCTCAGCTACATTCATTTATATTTTCAATAGCTAGCAGACACAACGAGTAACATAAAGCTCTGTTCTTTAGAATCAATATATACACTTTAAAAATCAAGTTCTAGAGCTACTAATAGAAGGAGAAGGTGAGGAAGATGGGTGTTTCTTGAGTGTCATTTGGCAGATATTATTTAAACATAAAAATAGAAATGAAAGGTAGGAACTGGAATACTAACAACATGGCTGTGTCTTTACATTCTCTGTATTCATAGAGTATATTTGTATTCAAGGAAAATATTTTTGTCTCCTCTCTCTTTTTATTCTTGGGTAGAATTTAACATTTTTTACTTTACGGAAAAAGACAGCTGTAGGTTATTGCGAATTAAAAAATGATCTTTTAAGAAAATGAATTTTGTTCTTCCTATACTCAGTTAAAGTGTCCCTAGTTCCAATTTAGGATCCCTGTCTCTTACACTTTTGCTCTGTACTTTACTAAAAAGCTTGGCTCCACCTTTACAGAAACCTATCTGGTACTGGAAGGTTGCTACAGGTCCCCCCGCCCCAAACCTTTGTTTCTCTCTTTTGAACTGGAGAAGTTCCATCCGCGTGTCCTCAGTGACCCAGCTCAGGACCAGCTCGGTGGTCCTCCACTCAAGTTAATTAACAAAAAACCCTTTTGCGTACAGAATATTGAACACCATGCTGCACAGGCCACCCAGCAAGTTCTGCGTTAAGGGCAAAAAAAGTCCCTGCCTGCCATCTGCTGACACTGCCCCTCTCATTAAAGCCCAGGATGCTGGCAGCCTCCACTGCTGCTGGGGCACACTGCCGACTCATCCTCTCCCAGTAAGACTCCAGGTTTTCTGCAGAGCTGCTTCCCACTCTCAAGACAACACCCTTGCAGCAGTTTAAGCCTGTCCCAAGTGCAGGACTTGGCATGCAGCACATCACAATACCACCGTGTTAAGTACAAAATCACCTTCACAATAGTATTATTGCCCTTCAGCATAGAGCTAAATTGCCCTTTTATAAGCAAGGGCTCTGGAAAAGGGCAAGTTGAAGATGCTAAACTTACAAACAAAATACATTTATTAACCTTTTAATGTAGCAGAGGCCATAAACAGAAAATCAAGACTAAGTGTCTAGTTTCTGATGAAAAGACTACTATTTACAAAAAAACTCAGGCAGCTGACATTTATGTCAATGTCTTTTCAACTGAAGAAATGTCTTATTGGGTTAGCACGCTAACAGCAAATCATGGGGGGGGGGAATGCACTTTCCTTCATTACTTTCACAGATGAGCTGAGATTTACAGTAAAGAGTAATTAGAATTCTTTGTTTCTTAAATACATCTGAACGGAATCAGAAACGCATACTTCAGTGAAATATACTATGGGTTCTAAATTCCAGGTGATAGGATGGGTTCGTATAGGAGCAAAAAGAGGAAAAATGACATCCATTTCACAGTCTTATTACGAGTTTCAGCCTGACGACTGTAGGTACATATGGACATAGGTCAGCACGAAAGATATCCCCTTCCCAAAGGAAAGGCTGGACTGTGGAAAGGGTTACATCTTTAAGAGTAGCCAGAATTTCCTTGCTATTGACCCAGGTATGTTAAACAAAAACCAAAACCAAACCAAACAGGTTAAAAAGGGGATTTTGCTTTCCACCTAATAAATATATGTACTGGAGCACAAGTTTATGGATCCTAAAAATCCCTGCCTTTCAAATGTTTTTGCATTATGCCCTCTGTATTTTCATTGTTTTAATTCTCAGAGCATTACAATATTAGAGAAATCATAATAGTTCCCTGAGACTTGGTAAACTAACAAACCTCACCAACAGTAATGGAATTCACCATTTGGAATACAAATAATTGCTTTACTTGTACATCTTTAACATTGCTAATGCACTGGAACATAAAAGCTTTACAGAGCAGTGTCTGTATCTATGGCATTTGCAAAACATTAACAATGCTTGTCTCTGACTTAAGGTTTTCTAAATTTATTTATTTATAAAGACGACATGAACACTGCGGTATTAACATTTTAAAATACAAGGTTTTATTTTACAGCCTTTCTTTATCTGAAGGGCAGAATTTACGAATAACACATTTAGTAAAAAGAAATTTTTAAATCAGTAGATAAGTGTAGGCTTCCAAAAGCAGCTTTCCATCTGAATGTTAAACCATCAATTTGAGTGGTCAATACTATCAGACTCATTGTTTGTGAAAGGATTGAAGACTAACATACACAGAGCATAATAGTCACAGCACACGTGAATTCATCACGTAATGATTCATCATCATTCAAACAACTCTATGTGTATTTCTGCACATAGCAATGTGTACAAATAGACCCGTGTTCTAGCTTGTTGACAGCTGGCTCAAAAAAAATAATTAAAAGCTCTCTTATCATGGACAGGAAGTCCACTGGCATCAGACAGTTTAAATCACTGGTCTAAAAAAAGAAAAAAGAAAACAAACCACAAACTAAAAACTTACAAACACCAAGCTTTTAAAAACCCATCGATCAAATATCCACCGGTTTGATTCCCCTTACGTTTCCTGGTTATTTTTTCTGAGACTTAAATCCTTGTCTTTGGGCAAAATATCAACCTACTGTAAAGAATAGCTAAAAACTAACATAGGAGTCACAGTAACTAGTTTTATTATAAATTGTGTTCACATACCAGCTGAAGTCCTTCCAGAACAACAATATTCAGAGGGTAATACTGTTTTTAAGTTACATCTTACTTTGTCCCATCAAGTGTCTTACAGTGAGAGTGACCAAAAAGAGTCAAAAAATTAGACAAAGAAATGACCAACATTTTAAAACATTAAGCCAGATGGTCTTGTCTAATTTTAAAACTCCTATTGAAGCAGTTCTTACTTTAGGCAAGTAATGTTTACAACTCATAAAAAATTCTTCTCCTCGTTCTCAAGTTACTTAGGGAAAAATAACATAACAACAAAATATACCTAGTACCTAAACGCAACAGCACAGTCAACATTTTATTAGGGAGAATGTTTAAGTATTTTCTCTAATCTCACAGGGCAAAAAAAAAGAAAAATACTTCCTTCAGAAATATCCATCTTGCAAACTAAAAACAGTTAACAAATAGATTGTTGTTTCTGAGGGCAAGGCTAAATTAAATAGGCATAGATTTTTGTCTCAGTTATTGTAAATGGAATTTAGCTGTAAGCACAGATAGCTATGCTTCAGCAATTATTCAGTTCAGTAGAGAACAATTTGCAGGATTAGTCAATCTACATTAGCTGTGTCAACATGTATGGGATTTGCACTGACAGCAATTCATAGATCTATCACCTGGAGTGCACGAATACCTTCTCAAATCTAGAGTTCCATTCATGCAGAGTCATCATTTCCCCTCCCCCTCGTTAACAAGTACTTTTCTCCTTAAAATATAAATTTCCCTTTAGATTCCACTACTACCGAAAATGCAGCACTGGATTTATTAAAAAAAAAAAAAAAAAGCATCCTTGAGCTTGGCCTCTCTTTAAAAAAAGCTATTAAAAAATGAAAGTATTTCCCAGGTGATGGTTTTTATTTTACCAGAAATTAGCAACAACTTTGTATTAAACTACAGCAAGCAAAGTCCTTCCCTACTGAAATATGTCACATCAGACTTGTTGTGTATTCAAAATATTCCCCCCCCCCCCAAGATTAAAACTCCTTGAGGTACACATTCGATTTCAAACATGGTGCCCAAAAAAGGGACTTGAAACCTGGACCCTCTGATTAGGCCAAAGAAAAAGTAACTGAAAAATTCCTCTGCAAGATTTATGCTAACTTTTTTTTTTTTACGAAAAGTCTCTTTACAAATGTTGCATGCCTTTATTTTAAAGATACTTTCAAAGGTTCTTTACAAACTGAGATGGTCAAGTTCACATCAATGCCTAACACACAAGCAAGCACTGCACATGAAATTCTGACTGCTATAGATTCTGAAGTTCTCACTGCAGCTCGTGTTTTGCCACCAGAACTGAAGTTAAACCTGGGATAACAATGTCCATCTTTAATCCCAAATATGTATTTTGGTGACACTGCTTGAGGGATAGCTGGGTGGAAGACCGGAAGAAAGACAACTAGCTAGAGGTATTGAGCGTAGTCAGAGCTCTACATATATTCTGTTGACAAGACGATGAACAAATTCAGGTCGAAAAAGCTGTTCTACTTGCACACTCCAGAAAGACTCAACAGACTTGCAATTAAACAACTGCCTTAGATCACCTTTGCACTGTAAAAGACAGCTATAGCAGGGCAGCATCCCAGAAATGCATACTCTGTATGTTTATCTATTATTAGAAATGGAGGTGCCATCAGTGAACTACATTGACTGGATGTTTTCCCTGTTTATAGAGCACTTTCTCATGTGTTGTGAGTCTCTGCACTTAGAAGTTTTAGAGCTTCATCTTACCTTGCAAAGAAAACTGATGTTAAAACCAAGAGACTGTGCATTTCTGGAGCCAGAGTTCATGTAGTTTCCGAGGAACAGCACTAACTCTAACAGCTTGCTAAAGCTTTCACTCTTCTTCAGCTCTTCACAAGCCAGCGTAACCGCCATAATGTCAGGTTTGATATTGTTTACATGCTCTTCAAACATAAGCCTGAAAAGGATCCCATTGAGACGTGACCGTAACATTTTCACTGAGCTCATCTACAAAATAAGAGACATTAAATCAGAATATAAAAAAACACAAGCTTACTTATGCAAAATAGCTATGTTAAAAAACAATATTGTGCAGCCAGCAAGACTAGAGTTTCTGTATGTTTTCATTGCCTATCTTGTATTGCAAGGAATCCGTACCTGCCCACAGGTATTTTTCCCCAAACCATACGCTTTGCCTGAAAAAATTCAGTGAAGCAACATTTTGAAAATAAGAGAGTGCTTTGTGTCACCAAACTATTTAACTTCTCAATTCCAAACTCACTGGCAATAAATGCACGCTGCCAAAACCCTTTCTCCCAGCAAAGGAAACGTAAGCCAATTCCACCAGTTAACGGAAGATGAGCCTGAAGGTACACGTGGCAAACATTTTGTCACATCTCCAGTAAAGTTACCCTTGAACTCTGATATTTACCAATTTCCTAAAATTAAGCTTCTCAGTTTTGGTCCCTTCAGAAATGGTACAACTATCTCTCAAGTGTGTGTGCGCTGATACCAGCACAAATGCAAACAGCTACACTGCAGTCTGATTAAGCTAAAGGCTTCTACTTTCCATTTTTAGACTCTCTTACTGCGCTGATGCATAGCTCTCAGCTTGCTCTTGATCCCTGGGAGAGAAGTAGGGAACAGGGATGATGAATTCTTAGGGACCCTTGTGGAAGGACATGGGAATATCTAAGTGAGTTTGAGACACAGGAGATGAAGCTTCACTAGTCAGATATTTATAGAAAGACTTGTTCATGAAATATTTTCTGCCATTGTACTGATACGAGCTGTTAATTGCGATATTTACAGATGACATCAGTGCTACATCTAACAAGGTGTTTATTTTTGCCGTTTTTAATTAAAATTGAACCCACACTGTTTTTTGTTCAGTTATTATCTACACTTACAGCAAACTATAAAATAAATAATATGAATCCTACCAGTATTGATAGCTCCCAAACAAGCTCAAAGGTATTGTAAAGGTACGCTATGATACATATTTGATCCTAAGACTTTTCAAGTTCATGACATCAAAAAGCCCCAACCTGTGTATCCCAAAGAATAATCAGATTCAGGAGGTGGATAAAGAGGTTTTGTCTGAAATGCATGACAACAACTTATATGTAAAAAAAGCAATATACCCAGAGATACTAAAGTAAGGATATACTGCTGGTATAGTCCTTCAGTTCTGATCCCATGACATCCTATTTTCTAGGCAACATACTGCCTGCTTTTCAACCTCTTGTCTTTTTTGTCCTTTTAAAGAAATTCTGTTAAGCCACTGCCCAAGATACTGTCACCTTTATGTTTCAGACACTTTGCAAAAAGTAGTACGGGACTAATTCCTTCCTGATCTGATAAAAAGATGGGAGGTTATAAGGCACAGCATTGTAACATGGTAAATGACAGAGATACTGAAAAGGATCTACAATAGCAATTCATTAGTTTAAATCCCCAAGACCAATTTCTTAGACTAGCTACCAAAATATGTCCACGTCTTTCATATTTTGCACAAGTAATCAGTAGTATTTCCTCCTACTTAGCAGCAGACTATAATTCACAAGAGATATTTAAAATTAAGAGAAAAATATGTACTGAAAATTTTTAATCCACTTAAAAATTTTCATTTAAATGCAAGAATGATTACCTTCCAAATCTAACTCCTAATTTTAATTAGCAGAATACAGAAAGCTTTCTCCCCCAATGTATTCACTATCAGTGATGTTCCTGAAGCACTTTGTCCCCCTGAAAGAAAAGCTTTGTTATGTAACAAATCACAGATTTTGGCTATTGTAACACAAAGGTTTTTATGTGCTCATGTCTCTGTTGCCCGAACTGTACCATGGCTCCTTGAGCAACTGTGATTTTTCTATTGGCATTATCTACCACAGACAGCTACCAGAAGCAGCAATAATAACTTTCACAGGAAAGACCTGGGTGGCCTCAATAATGATGAAACCATACTGAAACGCACATAAATATGAAGGCACTCCAGATTGTCTCAAACAATTCATACGATCAGGTGGGATCAAGGAACAGGAAAGGATCAGAAAAGAAGCATTTCAGCATAACTTGCAATCTTGTTTTATACATCTCCATTGTCACAAATTTCTCTGTGAGCCTCTATAAGCCAACATCATGCAAAGTCTTGAAATGTTATTCTTTTAATCATACTGAAATATCATACTGAAAACATCTGCCTTAGAAGGATCTACCTTCACTGAGATGCAGTAAATAGAAATTAAAATTAATCACATAATTTGCTTTAACTTTTGTAGAACCATCTCCAACTACTGATTTTACTCAAAAATTCACAGAAGAAGTTGTCAAACGGAACAAAACGTGTATAAGCCAACAGAACAGTGTGACTTAAAACACTCATGAAGAATAATTCTTTACAACATTTCAGCCAATTGCTATTTTCTTTTTTTTAATGCTGTGAAGTCTCATGGAACGCTGACCATTTATTTGTTTTGCAAGGTAGTTTGACTACCAGATCAGTAGTTTTATGTAGTAAGTTTTCACGTCAGTTGCTGATCTGCACGATACTTAAAAAGTATCTTGAGAATTTTACAAAAGCTGTTTCAAGTGGGTTGTTTCCTTAGAATTCGAAACATTTTTATATACATTATGCGCTTTATGTATCAACAGATGATCACAAATTCTATTTTCCCTTCCCCATCCTGCCCCAGTTTCTCTTTCGTACTCATGTTTCTAAATACGCATGTTCAATGGCTGATAAACAAATTGAACTTAGAGGAATCTTCTGAAAACAGGCAAGGCACAAAGATTATATGCACTGAGAAAAAGATCAAATTGTTTATAGTTCTACAAAATTAGTGTCCAAGGCATATAAGAAATAACACATTCAAATAGGTGAATGTAACAGCAAGCATTAGCTTTCATCACGAACAGTTAAAGCAGCAAGAAAATGGGCATTTCTTTTCCAGCTAACTGCGAGCACTGGACTGCATGTCATTACTTCCCCTTCTGGGCTTTCATAAAGGTCCTTGTCTGAATTCTCTACCTAATCAAGTTCTTTATTCAGTTCTTTATTATTATCATTCAATTCTCAAGCCCTCTATTAAAACTAGGATCAAAGGTTATTAAAGAAAGAGGCAAAAAGCACAATTAAATTTGCCTCACTTCCTAAGGAAAAAAGCTGACATTCCTGTAATACAAATTTGTCAACTGACTCAGCCTCTTACCTGTAGTATATTAAACAGTTGCCTTTTTTTTTTCCCTAGCAATGTTCTAGAAAGATTAGCTCTTCAGCAGCTCTAGAAATTACAGTAAGGCAAAACAAGTGGCAAATAAATTCCATTAAAATGACTGAATGACCCTAAAACAATGCAGGTGCAATAAACTTGTACAATTCTTCCCACTTCGTCTACCTGCCAGAAAGGACTGTTCAGGACAGCTAGTCCTGGTTATACAGCAAAAAGGATCACAGAATCTGCAAGTCTCTACAACTACAACTAGTCAGTGAAACTTAACCTCTTGCATTAACAATGAAATTACTGATAACCCTGTTGTTAAGAGCCCAAGGAAATTTTGCATTCACTAGAAACCAGCAAAAACCCCACAGAACACATACCAGAAAGGGAATTCTTTGGACAGTTCCAGTCACTTGTTTTGTTGGTTCAAAGAGTTATTAAGTAAAATTTGCACCACATAGTTGTGGGAGGTTCTTTTTAAGAGGTAATATTCTTATTAACTTGACTTCAAAACTCACAGTTGTTGGTAAAGTGAGTTTTCCGAATTTGAAATAGCAGTAGGACTCCAAAAGATTTCTTTTTAGCATGTCCTCTGAGTTGACAGGAAATGGTTGGTACTCACACTTTACAGCACAGATGAGACCTTTGCTTTTATAATACTTAAACTGTTCAACTGGCACCAAAAGTAATACTTGAAAGTAAGTATCCTTATTGAAGGTGCATGATTTGTTCCCATGACCTTAAAAAAAACCCTCTTAAACACAAGTTTTACATTAAAAAAAAAATTTACATTTAATTTAAAAAAATTAACTGATTCAGTTAATCTATTTTTCTTTTTCTACTTCAACATCAATACAAACTTTTCTTTATATTAAGTTGTGTTGCCTTTTTTTGATCCCAGGATATAACTTCAAAAACAGTTCTAGTATCTAATTTGAATATATAATTGATTTTAAGATTTCATCTAAATGAAAAATCAATTCTAATTTTCATTCACATATCAGCTGGATATTAAGCTAATCAGTCTCTTCTAATAAGTTAATCATTCACTAAGTATGGTTTTTCTACACAAATTTTAAGAAACTTATTCCAAGCTTTATTAGGTTTGATGGGCACAGTGATTATCCAATTAACATCTTTTAATAATTAGCATAGCTAAATCTACATACAAATAAGGGTACACATTTTAAATAATACTTAACAGTCTTTCTGTCTTCTATTCCTAAACATATTCTTCTTCACATCAAGGTTAGGGTTACTATTAATGCAAAACTCTGAAATTAATTCAACACATAAGGAAAAAAAGACTCCAGTCGAGTAAAGAGCTTGAGTTCAGCTGTATGTCCTACCCTTTAGTGGATTGTTCAATTAAATCTAAATCAGAAACAAAACCAGCATTTCAGTAGTATTAATGTAGTTATGAGGCCTCTAAAAATAAAACAGAATTACTACCCACAAGGAAATGTAATATCTGGTACTAAACCAGAGGGTAAAGGTCAATACGCAAACAAGCTTCAGGAAACTCAGTCCTTTGATAAGGCCAACGTCACCACTTGGAGAAGTTTGATTAAGAATTTTTTTCCAATTAATATTCCATTAAATACTTCCAAATCCTTTCTCAACTTTCTGTAGTCAGTCATTCCTCAAAAGAGCGAATGAAGAGTGATCATGACTATATTAGTACTGTTGGAAAATAAGGATACTTTTATGACTTTTTCAATACAGTTGCGTGAAAAAACAAGGACCATTTAGTTTCAAGCCAGTAGTAATCACAAGTCAGATGACTGC